GTCACTCACCCGTACCACTCTCCCGCTTTGCTGGCACTAGAGTTTTTCGATTAGTTGATAAATCGATTTATCGAATTTTTGGATAATCGAAAATTCAGTAATAATTAATTAATAGTTCACCAGTTATCGGATCAATCAACGTCCATATTTTGAAACTGTAAATTTTCGAAACAACATCCTGTACCCTGGGATGCCCGCGAGGGTTCTCAGGTGTAAATCACAATTTGAGCTCACCTTGAGAATCAAAATCATGAGTGCTGAACATTTCCCAATTTTTCAATTCGCGATTGATCGCGATTATTAATCGCTAATGGAAAAACTTTAGCTGGCACTATCCACTATCCTTTCAAACTCGGCTGCTACTCGAGCCTAATAGGGGCAAAACCAGATGGATCCGGAAATACTTAAACCGTTCGATTCGAAAACGACGCGAAGGAAAAACTAAATAATGTGCGAAAAAACAAAATGCCGATTGCGATTGGTCAGGGGATCATTGGAGGATGGCAGGGGCGGGACTGGGTTCCCTTATAAGCGTAGCTTATTGAGGAAGAAGGGAGGGGCAAAGACCTATTCACGTTTCACGGGGATTCTACTGCTATCATGCCGCAATCAGACGCTGAATTTAGCAGCTGAATGTGGAAGTCAACAGTCATCGCCCAACGGCTGAAATTTAGCAAATTCGAGTTATTTTCATCCAGATGTGTATTAAATCTACTCGAATAGTTCAGACAAATTCAAAATTGGTTCGATGGTTGCTGAGAATCGTTGCTGAATTTTGCGCCACGCGCTAAATTTAGGCATCGGGCCGATGACTTCCACATTCAAGTCACATTCAGCTCCCACATTCAGCGTGTGATCGCGGTGTTAAACCGCTACATACAATCACAACATATTTTCCAAGGGTGGGGACACACCGGCCTTTTAGAGGGAAAACCCCCTCCTGAATAGAGTATTTAGATTAGCACCTAATTAATCAACTGGAAGCGATTAATCGATTAAAATTTTAATCGATGAATACTGCCGATTAATCGTAAATAAAAAACTTCCCAGTTCCCAGGTTAAATTCCGATAAATCAGCACACAACCTCTAAAAATTTCAAATCAAAGCCTAAAAGAGCTGATACTTTATGGAAAAACAGAACTTCAGGAGGATTTGCGGAAATATATTTACTGTACCGTTTGCTATATTATCGCGGAAAATGTTCAGCTCACAAGATTTCTTGTTCTCAAATTGAACCAGAATGCTGTTTTCCACCTGCGAGCCCTGACGGGCATCCCAGCGCAAATGTTACGAACCGTTCTGAGCGCGCTTCGCGCATCCGTCGCGGTTGGCCAAGGGGCTGTGCCCCCTGGACCCCCAGTCACTCGCTACGCGAGTGACATTCGGTTCGCTAAGTAGTTGGACATTTGATCACTATGGTGTATACATTTTGGAGAGTCCCAAACCAAAAATTATTTTGTCACGGAAACTTGTTACCAGAACGTCCCATCATATGAACATTAATAAAAACGTGGAGAGGAAGCAATGATGGGGATCGATCATTTCTTCAAAAAAACATTTGGATGGACGTCAGTCCCATCGGGTGGAGGAAAGGGGCAACCGTGGATCTCCTTCCACGATTTGACTCACTGAAATAGCAAAAGTTCAGCTTAACTTCTTCAGAAGACTATCGGTGCGGCATAGCGGTCTGAAAACTGTTCAACAGCAGTTAAGTTCGAGTTTCGAACCGCCATGAGCTCACTTGTGTTTTTTTTTCTTATAGTTTCATCACATACAAATT